AAATAAATAAATAAATAAATAAATAAATGAATGAATGAATAAATAAATAAATAAATAAATAAATAAATAAATAAATATTTTTCCTTTACTCCGTCTGGCATTTCATATCATTCTCTCCCTTCCTTGGTCCTCTAATTGAGATGTTGAGGCTTGTATTCCTTGTCATGCACCAGTAGCATGAGTGGACCTGTGAGGAGGAATGCAAGCATCCGCTTCTTAACTAGTGGTCATCCATAGAGATGGGCATGAAATGAATTATGAATCAAAAATTGGACTGGTTCATGGTTCATTTCACAACCCCGTTTGGGGATCCTGTTTTGCTGAAGCAAAATGAGCACCAAACTTTTTTTTCCTATTAGCATTTCATTTGCTTTGGCAAAAAGGGATGCCCGCCCACCCCTTTCCCACTGCCCTGTAACCTCCGCCTACCAGCTCCTGCCACATTGCCATCTCTGCTGCCCCACCATGGGTGCTACCCTCGGAGGCAGCAGGCCCAGCTTCCCTGCCAGGAGCCAGCCACTGTCTCTGAGCTTGCGCCCACAGTGGCAGCGGAGGCCTCAGAAGCAGGTAGAGCCCCCTGAGATACGAACTGATGGTGGTTCATGGTTAGCCATGAATCACAGATCATCATAAACCATAGGTTTTCCAGTTCGTGCCTGTCTCTAGTAATGAAACATTTATGCTGGTTTACTCTGACATACGGGTGGCCATTTTCGGTGTCTGTAAAGCGAGGAATCCCTCCGAAAACACAGCGGGGAGCCATTTTGAGCAGCCGGTGGCCATTTTGAAAATGCAACAATCAGCTGGGAACCAATCATCGCTAAGCAAAAAAATAAATAAATAAAAAATCTAAACATCATTTTGCGATTGCAATTGCAATTGCAAAAACATCGTCACGAAGCGGATTCGTCATTATACGGGGTAATCGTTAAGCGGGGCACGACTGTATATAAATAATAAGATTTCTGGCCAGTGTGAGATGGGGCAACTATGGCTTCTTTCACTTCCTCCTCTCTGATCATATCTCCTGCTCCCATTTAGGGGATAGGGATGATCACTAGAGGTGTCAGAATAGCTGACTGGAAATGTGGAGAATCTAGAAGTAGAAAAGGAATCTCTGGCTTGCAAGCTGGCAGTTCACAAATGACCTGTCCACCCGCAACAGAAGCCACTGCCAGTCATTGAGATGGAAACCCTGTGGAGCACCAGCACAGCGATGTTTGTGAGGTGTTTTTTTTTAAAATAGTCTCCTTTTAATGCTTTTTAAAACTTGGCTTTTCAGACCAGCCTGGGAGAAGCCCTTCCTGGCAGCTCATCCCACATTCCTCGTGGGTGTTATAAGGAAGTGGCTGAACGGTGTGTGGGGAAGTGGAGAAGATTCTCTCTGTTGTCATAGCTTTTCTGCTTGGATAAGCTTTCTCTGCCTCCAGTTCCTTGTGTCTCACTAACAGGATGTGGCAAAGTTTTATTTCAGTCTGGGTGCAGTCGATGGTACAAGTGTCCCTACTGCCTCTTCAGAGGGATGGAAGAATCATCCTATTTCCAGACCGTGCCACTTTCTGCATTCCCCCAAAAGTCTAATTTCTCCCCACATGAATCTGTGTCTTTTAAAAATTATCCAATAAATGTATTTAAAAGTACATTCACATTTATGTTACCTCAAATTATATGTTTTAAAATGTACTGGAGCTCAAAATAAGTATTGTAAATGCATTTTATTTATATCATCATCATCTTAGAACTGCAGAACTGGAAGGGGCCCTATGGATCATCAATTATTTATTTGTTATAGTTAGAATATTTAAAATAGACTAATTCTAAAGGTGGGGTGTCCTAATGGATTCTTGAATTCCACTCCCTGGTTACCATCAGGTATAAATAAACAGGTGCTAGACCCTTTATTTGTTAGCTTTAGTAAATAGCAGGTTCTTGCCTATCTATCTATCTATCTATCTATCTATCTATCTATCTATCTATCTATCTATCTATCTATCTATCTATCTATCTATCTATCTATCTATCTATCTATCTATCTATCTATCTATCCATACCTACCTACCTACCT